TGGTTGTTTCCAGCCGTTTCGGCGCATGACATACGTCACTCACGACCACACATTAGCGATTGGCTATGGCAGATCGTGAGTGACTCTGGGCAGATCCAATAAATTTGAACTTTAATAGTGAACCCGCCTACAAGGAAGGAAACGTTTCTCAATTGAGGGAGGCCAGACTCTCTGTACAAATGAAATGTATGTACGAGAGTCTGGTAGAACCAGGCTAGGGTTTGTCCATATTTTACCCAAAATTGGGTTAAAACAACCCAGCATTTTTTAGAGTGAACTCCCTTCTCTGAACAACTTTGCCTCTATAGGACCACCACTATCGAATTGAATATTGGAGATTATTTCAAAAACCTACTTTCGCCAACTAGTCCTAGGTTTTTGGCTCAACCTTGATAACTGTTAAATAGCTTTAAAACATATATTTGCAGAATTTCCTCCAAAAAAAAAAAACCCAGAGTACTCTCTCTGGACCTGGCAAATGTTCATTACTTGATATCAGTCATCAATTTAAAGTTCATTACTGTTCCTCAGCCAAAACGCCCAGTCATCTCAATGCTGAGTGAACCAACTCAATTTGGTATGTGCACATTTGGAGACCAATCACATGGCAGCGCTTGAAATTAGCACACTTTTTGAGAGGATTATAATGTTTTTTAAATAAGCCATTCCGCTCAGATTATCCACCCTGAATATCTCCTTTTCCCCTGTGCATGCCTTTAAAATGATTGCCCTGAGAAAATGTGAAACCTTTAATCTACCCTGTGGTACAGTAGCTCACTGCTTTATAGCAAGGGAGAGAGAGAGAGAGAGAGAGTTTTATTCTTGCAATGCAGATGTTTCCATCTGAGAGATTACTGAACGGATATCGTCATTGCAGAGACTTCAGTGTTGTATTTAAAACTTTAAAAGCTTTAAACTCTCATACATTATTGAAAGAACACATAATGCATATTAAAATATTGAGTTATCTTAGCCACAAGATAAAGCTCTGTTTGAATGCTGCCTACAGTATGGCAAGCCGTTTTAGCTTTTATTCATTTCCAGGATATGAATTCTTGATATCAAAAATTACATTTTTTGATATCAACAATTTAATTATTGATATCAAGAATTGAATTATTGATATCAACAATTGCATTCTTGATATCAAAAAATGTAATTGTTGATATCAACAATTGAATTGTTTATCAACAATTTAATATCTGTAATTTTATTTTCACTATAAATGTCACCATAGGCTGCCATTCAAAATGAATTGTTGATATCAATAATTGATTTTTTACTAGTAGAAATACATCATTTTTGATATCAATAATTACATTGTTACTAGTAAAAATGTGAATTCCTGATATCAATAATTAAATTGTCTCTAGTTGATATCAACAATTCAATTGTTACTAGTAAAAATGATCATTTTTGATATTTGAAATATATATATTTCTGATATCAATATTATTTCAGATATCTAAAATGACTTTCTTAGTAACAATCACATTCATGATATTAAAATTAAAATTGTCACTAGTAAAAATGTAAATATTGATATCAAAAATGAACATTGTTACTAGTAGCAATTCAGTTGTTACAACTGAAAAGCTCTCCCTTCAGTCCATCTATGAGCAGTCTGTACTCAGGCAGGCGCGGAGAGTTCTGTCTGACCCGTCCCACATCCTTCATGCGGAGTACGAGCTCTTGCCTTCTGGCAGAAGGTTCAGAATTCCAAAAACCAAATTGAACCGTTACAAATATTCTTTTATACCCAACTCCGTCAAAATTTTAAATCAAAATTTTTAGATTGTACGAGGAGGAATGAGAAGTGTGCAATAACTTGGTGTTCTGCTTGTTGTTTTAGTATTGTATGTTATTTTATTCTCATTTATTTATTTATTTATTTATTTATTATTATTATTATTATTATTTTTTTTTTTTTTTTTAGATTTTCATTAGATGTGTCATGAGTGTGTGTATAGTCTACATGTACGTCTTTAGCTGGTATTTTTTTTACTATGTGTATTATTGCTTGTAATGGCAGCTACTACTTTGCACCACGCACTTTGAGTCCATGACAAATTTCCCCTAGGGGACAATAAAGTATACTATATATATATTTGTGGATATCAAGAATAGACATTTCAACTAGTAACAATTGAATTCTTGATATCAAAAATAAAGGTTTTTACTAGTAATAATTGTATTTCTGATATGTGAAATTGGAATTTCAACTAGTAAGAAATCAATTCTTGATATCAACAATTGATTTTGAATGGCAGCCTATGGTGACATTTCACTAGTGACAATACAATTTTTGATATCAAGAATTACATTTTTGATATCAGAAATGTAATTCTTGATATCAAAAATGTAATTTGTGATATCAAGAATTTAATTGTTGATATCAAAAAATGTAATTGTTGATATCAAAAAATGTAATTGTTGATATCAAGAATTCATATCCTGGAAATGAATAAAAGCTAAAACGGCTTGCCATACGTAGACTGTTGCAATTTGGTAACTAATGAGGTTCCAATGCACATTCCAATATAGACATCATAGGCTACAGACAGTGCTCTTTTGTTTCGGGTAATCAAACAAAGGCAAGATTGAAGTGGAAAAAAATCGTCTTTTTTAACACCATATTCCCTGGGGTATGTTGGAGAAGAGTTTGTTGTAAACTTGTTGAGGCACGCAGTCAACATTGCTTGCTGAAATAATGGAAAGTAATAACAAAAGTAATTTATTTAAAAGACATATCTTGATGTTGATAAGCGAATCAATTGGTACAGCTAAATATGCACATAAAATGTAATAAAACGTGTTTTTCTTCCCCGTATGATGTTAATCTCACCTGCAGACAAGAAGACGGGTCTTAGATGGAGCATTGCTGCTTTCAGCCAAGCTTTAATAAATGGTCTTTTGATATATATATATTCATCATCACGTCTTGCTCAGACTTTAGTCTCAACACACCTCCCTCCACCACGACAAAACCCTATACCTGATTCAGCCCTTTGCTGTGTGAGGTCACTGACTCCTGTCTCTTCCTCTTCTTTTAGCTCTGATATGCTCTTAATTGACTCCGGTCCATCAGAGAGCGGGAGACTGCAAGGCCAGTGGACACATAGGTGTGCAAAATATCACCGGAGGCAATTGACAAGCGCAGACGAGATGACCTGCAGAGAAAAGTGAAAGGGGTTAGCGCTCTATTTGAAGAGGGACTCATTGGGGTCATTGCCGGTGAACTCTTCAGCTAATGGTGGGTGGTTTCCAACATCATTCACAAAGTTATAACAGTTTCATTCATTCCTGACTGGTCAGTACAGCATTTCTGCTGTGCTAAAATATATGATAGTTAAAGTCTTTTCTTCCTAATTGCATTGTTGTAGTACTTGAGACTCGGACTCGTCTTGGACTCGGTCTCGAGACCATATTTTAATGGTCTTGGTCTTGTCATGGACTCGTGTGCATTTGGACTCGGAATTGACTCGTACTCGAACATTTTTTTTTTTTTTAGGACTCGGACTTATTCCCGAGTCCACTCGAGTTCAATTCAAAAATATTTTTCATGATTATTAATGTATGTTAATAAAATATTTCTTTAACTTGATTGACACGCCCAGTGATTGGTGATTTTCTAGTGCGCAACTGCGCATGACAAATTGTTATAAAATTACTTTTAACACCACCTACTGTGTGGCCTTTTTACCCTAAACTGATCATATTTTTTAAACTAATTTATAAGTAAATTAGGTAATCAACCCTCACTGGTCTCGGTCTCGACTCGGACTCGAGTGAGGTGGTCTCGCCTACAACACTGCCTAATTGTGAATGTGTCTTTGTTACACATGTTACATGTACTAACTATAAATTAGGCATAATCACATGCCACTAACCCTAAACCAACCCTAATCCTACCCTAACCTAACAAATAAATAAATAAACACATTAAAATAAAGTGTAACTGAAAATTCAAACATGCAGCAAAGGAACAGCTCTACATCTTCATTAATGCATACTCGTTAGAATAATACTCGTTTATGAGCTGGATTGTTTCTAAAAATATGCCATAAAACTCCATTCATTTCTCTTGGGGAGTCTGGGCATAGTGTTCATATGAGGTCGTATTTATCTTGTGTGGGGGGAAAAAAATCACTGTACAGATGGCACTGAGAGCTAACTAAACCAATTTATATGATTGAATTTGATCATTTCTGGGGGCACCATTAATATGGCTTAATTATCTTGTTTGCTTGTTCAGCTGGTCTTCTTTCCAGGCCTAGTTTTGCCTGTGGTCTACTCAGCGACAGATGCCCACAAACCCTCTAAAACCATTCAACTAGACGGGCAAAACATCTTGGGTTTGCCTTGTTTATGTTTGTTTTGTTAGTAAGGTAATGGGGAGAGTTTCAGGTAGGGTAAGCATATTATGTTCATGTTGTCCAGTCAACGAATTTGGTCACATTAAGATATGTATCTCTGTCTGGCTCTTGGAGTCGTGAGGCGGGTCAGACTCAGCACACGAAGAATGTTTTCTCTTCATCATCTCTTCATCTCTTATCGCTAGAGAGGATATCTTCTGACGTGATCAGAAAAAAATGAACACGTGCGTGCACGGATAATTATAGATGAGTGTTTTAGTTAGTGGACATATACCCACAGTAGGGGGTTTGAAGGCCAGGACCACCATTTTTACCCTGCTAGTCGTGGTTATTGTACAAATGTGATTATTTAAGACCATTTCTGGCCAAATTTAAAGTGATGTCTTCGTTCACATTGCCTAGTCTCCTTTAACCTTGAAATGGTTCATGGCTAAAAAAAAGACTCCAACATAATAGTCTGCCATGACATTCTCTTTTTTCTCTTGAAAGTTCCAATACATGCCATACAAAAGCTTATGTGTGAAGTGTTTTTGTGAAAGTTACCGCTACCTTCGAGCAGCCTTGACGGTTTTCTCTCTACGCGCGCTCCCTTCAGCACGGATCTGCGCGCGCTCCCAGTGCACGCTGCGGCGTCCTTATAGGCTACTACCTTGAGAAAAAGGATGGGAAAACCGTACAAAACCAGTTTCCAGGTCAACTCGGGGTTAGACCCGCTGAAGGCGACCCTCGTTACGCTCTTGAACGCGCTCGCTTTGAATCCCGCCACCACCTGCATACAAAACTGACGCGCGTGTTTGGAGATCGTGTGTATGGAAAGTGCTGACGCGTTTGATCGTTTCGTCAGCGGTTTGACGTGTAGACTGCTGAGGGATATTTATTACTCTTAAGGACTTTTTAAGGACGCTAATATTTCATTTACGCGGAAACACTTTCTTGGGAGACGGATTTGGATTTTTTTTTGTATGTTTTCTAATGAAAAACGTCGTGTATTAATCTACGACAGCCTGCTGAGGGATATTTATTACTCTTGACGATTTTTTATGGACGCGATATCATCGCAAGATGTTGTTATTTTGAAAACCAGAATGTTTGAAAATGTTTCGAATAGTTAATATCGCAGACATGTTTAGTTATCCTCAAATCTCGGATAGCTGCACCATTTTCCATTTACTAAGTACTAATATTTGCTTGCATTTTGTCTCATTGAACGAGGAAATCAGAATTATTTCCTCAGAATACAGACTATGATCATCGCAATCCCGTGTAAAACTATTTCTCTGAGAACGTCCTTGCGTTCTGACTATTATGAGATATATTCATTTCAACGACGTGTTTGACGTATTACAGGATAAGTGAAGTGCTGCTTCTTGCGACTTTATGTGGACGCGAACGATCGTCTTATACGTGGAAATTCTTTAAATTTTGGAATTTTCTGAATAGAAAACGGCGCACGAATTATTTATAGTCAAAGCTCTTATATTGCAGCATTTTCATTTACAAAACATGTATCTCATTTAACAAGCGAATGCCTTTTGTTTATGTGGAAATAACGCAACTGAATTTGGAAATGTCCTTGAAAGTCGTATTTATTTATGTATCAATCATTTTAGCGTTCGGTCCAAATTTCTCTCTTACTAAACCAGGGAAATCTATGTTGCACTGATGCATGAGGAAACTGCTATCCTCATTTGGATAAACTGAACGTTACGAGACTTCACAAGAGTTTGGCGCAACTACATCCACCGGTGATGCCGGAGGTCACTTCCACCAGAAGTGATAAGCTAACATCCAAAGGCATAATGTTTTTATGCAACACCACAGCCATCAAGGACTGGAGTTATTTTCTCTCTCAGATCTTGCCTCTTGTGAATAAATCAGCGGGATTTGTTCAGGACCGAGTGGAGGCTGTTACGAGCACCATGGTGACGGCTCTGGAGCCCGATCTGACCGGGATGAGCGCTAGTCACCCGCCGCTCAACTCCAATCACACGTCCGGGACGGAGCACGTCTTTCAGTACTCGTACTCGGAGAGTGACCTGCAGTACACGGACTACAGGACCCCGCCGAGGGACTCGATACCGCTGCCCAAGGCGGTGCTGTACCTGGTCATGGCCGCGCTGGTGGTGGTGGCCGTGGCGTACGCGATCGTGGGGCACCTGGTGAAGGATCTCGTGCATGAGTGTTTGGGTAAGTTCATTCTTAAAATGCATACTGTGTGATCAACTAAACAACACTCTGACGATACGCTGTTCAAGTATTTGTATGTGTTTTGGGTATGGATCAGAAAGATTCAACACTGGAAATACAAAAATGCAACCTGTCTGCACCTGTTTGGTTCATTGCACTGCTCCTAAATAACACATGACTAAGGTCTCAAGTTGGTTTCTTAGCCTAAAACAACAAAAGTGGGGCTTGGTAAGAAAAAAAAAAGATTTTTCTATTAATCGTTTTTTTTTTTTTTAATATAGTCGATTCAAAATCGCTTCTCTAAGGTCACGACTTGATTTTTCGCCCCATATTTATTTATTTATTACCTAATTAGCCTCCATGTTGCTATAATGCTGTCAGAATTTATTTTTATGTTAAACAAAATAACCTGCTCCTGTTTGATTAAGGCATGCGACTGTTCTGACTCGCCCAATTTCATTCAAAAATTGCATTCATATTCATAAGGGGTTATGATAAGTATGCTGAAGTGTGTTTTTTGGAGGATGCTCCATTATGTTTGATATTTATGCATATCCTATGTAAGTGAGTGCTAATAGACTCATGATATTTATTTTGCAAGGTCCTTGATGGTGTCTGTCTGCATCAGTTCTTACATTATGGAGTCTCAATGCCAAAATGCTCCTCTGTTGTAGGCTACTTTCACACATTTACATTCACCTCCACTAACATCTCGGCTGATTCCTGGAAGCTCCGAATTGAGTATCCTGAAGGGAGTGAAAAGGAATTACAGTCCCTCACTTCTGTTTTTCAAAGACCTTGACGTTTACCTGAAGCGATGAAGCAGTCGAGTTTCAAACACACACACACACACACACACAGTCACACACACACAAGCAGACAGGGGACATGAGCACTCAACAATCCTTAAGAGATTTCCCCAAAAGCTCTGGTTACAGCGAGCGAGCCTTCATCCTGTGCTGTAGATGTGCTCGATGTGTCGATCCTGGAGGTGTAAATGTGAAGATTGTCTGTTTGGTGAGATTCTCACTGTAGTATTTCTCTCTCCAGGGTCAGATAGATGTAGACAGCTCTCTTTTTCCATCATATAGTAATGCACATTATTTAGATTGCATTTCATCCACTCGTTTATTGTGATATGGCATTATCGCTGATTCTTGGGGTTGTGGTTTTCATCCCGTGCATCCCAAGGCGTCATATGCCTATACATCCAATGCACATGGCTCCTTTTAGCGTCAATATGAGACGCAGATATATATGCCGCCCCCTAGTGGTCTAACCCTAACACTACCCCAGACCTAAACCCACCCATAACTGTATGTTCACACCGCCGCCGACTTGAGCTTCCAAAGCGTCCGGAAGTCATTCATTTTCAATGGAAGCTGGCTTTTCTCAGCTGCAAGGAGCGTCAAATCCAACGGTGTCGCATTTTGGGCGTTTTGAGCGTCAACCAGAAAGTTGAAAGAAGTTTAACTTTATGTTAATGAGCTGTGACGCGGTTCAGCGGCAAAACTTCAGCAACCAATCGGAATATAGACGTCTTTCACGCTGATTCCAGAGAAACATGAATGTAAAATTTCGTTCCTACCAAAAACATTAGCTCAGACAAAATGGAAGAGAAGCTAATCCTCGCCGCTGCTGTGTTTCCTACTGGTTTCATATCATTTAATGACATGACGTTGTTTGCTTATAGGGACCGCATGAGCCCAATTTTTATTTGAAATATTTACGAACGCTCGTTTTAAAGCGGGAATGCAATTAATTTGCTCACGGTGACACCGATTTGACTGCAATCATAATAATAATAGCTAACTATTTTTTTCCCGAGCAAATGTGACCAAAACGGTTATAAAAATGCTGTCATGATAAAAGGTTTCTTTAATGTATTGCGTGTTTTTTTTCCGGTTTATTACATTTCATGTTGTGGCATGGAAAGCACCACTAATATTTTCTTTTAAAAGAAAAATATTTGTTTTTTTTTACAACCTGTCAAATAAAAAATCAGTGCAACACAAAAAATCAGGCATGCCGTATGTATAGAAGAGCCTGTGTGTGTTTCCTCCGGGAATTATAAAAATCACTTTTATTGCCCTGATTGCCATTATTTAGCCGTGCTTATTTTCCCTCTCCCTCTTTCACTGAAGCAGTTCAGCCTAATTGGCATAAATGTGTATGTGGGAAGTTTTCATGCCATCACATGTCTCTGCTTATCAGCCACTTTTGTTTACTCGCACCCTTCAGTCTGGCTCTGCTGTGTTATCTGCTCATCTTAATTCCAGGATGCTTTCCGAGTCAAAGGCGAATGCGTTTAGTGCTGCCAGGCTGGTGACTTCTGTCATGGATCTGAACTGTGCAGTTTGATGGAGCATTCAGACCGGATGAGTTGTTTGAATCATTAGTCAAGCAGTGTAGTACTTTAATTATCAATAGGTGAACTGCAAGGTATTTAATTAATGCAGTCAGACATCAGCCTGGGGCTCATATGTAATATGTAGTGTGTATTGCATTACAGAACGAAGCAGTTGTTGCTTCCTAACTGGAATATCAATTTTGTTTTCATGAATTGTGAAATATGACCCGGACATTTTCTTGTTTTTTTCTTTTTCATAAAGAAGCCCGCACATCCTTTTTTGTTTTCCATCATGCTTTTCATTAAATGATTGAAATCAGACCTGTTAATCAAGTCATGGGCTATTTTTAACTTAGCTATGTCCTTGAATAATAACGTGTCTGTTAGAGCCAGACCGATATATATCGGCAGGCCGATATAATATTTTGTATATTATATATACAAAATATTAGTATCGGTAGTTATAATGGCCGATAAATGATAATGGCCGCTTCAACCATGTCATGAGGGTTGGAGTTGTAAAGTTTGTCCACCAGAGGGCACTCTACACCGTCCCTGTTGGCAACACTCGTGTATAACGCAGCACTCATCCTGCCACCTGCTGATTAACTTTCTTTATGCATTATCATATTATTTTAGTTAAAACTCATAAATAACTACAAATAACTAATGTTAGGGAAATCTGTTAATATTTTGTTGCGCGTTTCTGAAAAAAATATAACAATAATTATAATATCGGCCGATATATCGGATTATAAAACCAACAAATATTTGAATCGGTATCGGTCTTCAAAATCCTTTATCGGTCTGGCTCTGTTATACAAAGTGTGCATGCGCCTCTTTTGTTTTTCGACAAAATGTACATTTATTTTGTTGCGCGTTTCTGAAAAAAAAATATTATAATAATTATAATATCGGCCGATATATCGGATTATAAAACCAACAAATATTTGTATCGGTATCGGTCTTCAAAATCCTTTATCGGTCTGGCTCTAGTTTCTGTTATACAAAGTGTGCATGGGCCTCTTTTGTTTTTCGACAAAATGTACATTTATTTTGTTGTGCGTTTCTGAAAAAAAAATATTATAATAATTATAATATCGGCCGATATATCGGATTATAAAACCAACAAATATTTGTAAAGGTATCGGTCTTCAAAATCCTTTATCGGTCTGGCTCTAGTTTCTGTTATACAAAGTGTGCATGCGCCTCTTTTGTTTTTCGACAAAATGTACATTTATTTTGTTGCGCGTTTCTGAAAAAAAAATATTATAATAATTATAATATCGGCCGATATATCGGATTATAAAACCAACAAATATTTGTATCGGTATCGGTCTTCAAAATCCTTTATCGGTCTGGCTCTTGTTTCTGTTATACAAAGTGTGTATGCGCCTCTTTTGTTTTTCGACAAAATTTACATTTATTTTGTTGCGCGTTTCTGAAAAAAAATATTATAATAGTTATAATATCGGCGATATATCGGATTATAAAACCAACAAATATTTGTAAAGGTATCGGTCTTCAAAATCCTTTATCGGTCTGGCTCTAGTTTCTGTTATACAAAGTGTGCATGCGCCTCTTTTGTTTTTTGACAAAATGTACATTTATTTTGTTGCGCGTTTCTGAAAAAAAATATTATAATAATTATAATATCGGCCGATATATCGGATTATAAAACCAACAAATATTTGTATCGGTATCGGTCTTCAAAATCCTTTATCGGTCTGGCTCTTGTTTCTGTTATACAAAGTGTGCATGCGCCTCTTTTGTTTTTCGACAAAATTTACATTTATTTTGTTGCGCAGTTGCTGAAAAATAATATTATAATAGTTATAATATCGGCGATATATCGGATTATAAAACCAACAAATATTTGTAAAGGTATCGGTCTTCAAAATCCTTTATCGGTCTGGCTCTAGTTTCTGTTATACAAAGTGTGCATGCGCCTCTTTTGTTTTTCGACAAAATGTACATTTATTTTGTTGCGCGTTTCTGAAAAAAAAATATTATAAAAATTATAATATCGGCCGATATATCGGATTATAAAACTAACAAATATTTGTATCGGTATCGGTCTTCAAAATCCTTTATCGGTCTGGCTCTAGTTTCTGTTATACAAAGTGTGCATGCGCCTCTTTTGTTTTTCGACAAAATGTACATTTATGTCATGGCATTAATTTACATTTATTTTGTTGCGCGTTTCTGAAAAAAAATATTATAATAGTTATAATATCGGCGATATATCGGATTATAAAACCAACAAATATTTGTAAAGGTATCGGTCTTCAAAATCCTTTATCGGTCTGGCTCTAGTTTCTGTTATACAAAGTGTGCATGCGCCTCTTTTGTTTTTCGACAAAATATACATTTATTTTGTTGCGCGTTTCTGAAAAAAAATATTATAATAATTATAATATCGGCCGATATATCGGATAATAAAACCAACAAATATTTGTATCGGTATCGGTCTTCAAAATCCTTTATCGGTCTGGCTCTAGTTTCTGTTAAACAAAGTGTGCATGCGCCTCTTTTGTTTTTCGACAAAATTTACATTTATTTTGTTGCGTGTTTCTGAAAAAAAAATATTATAATAATTATAATATCGGCCGATATATCGGATTATAAAACCAACAAATATTTGTATCGGTATCGGTCTTCAAAATCCTTTATCGGTCTGGCTCTAGTTTCTGTTATACAAAGTGTGCATGCGCCTCTTTTGTTTTTCGACAAAATGTACATTTATTTTGTTGCGCGTTTCTGAAAAAAAAAATATTATAATAATTATAATATCGGCCGATATATCGGATTATAAAACCAACAAATATTTGTATCGGTATTGGTCTTCAAAATCCTTTATCGGTCTGGCTCTTGTTTCTGTTATACAAAGTGTGCATGCGCCTCTTTTGTTTTTCGACAAAATGTACATTTATTTTGTTGCGCGTTTCTGAAAAAAAAATATTATAATAATTATAATATCGGCCGATATATCGGATTATAGAACCAACAAATATTTGTAAAGGTATCAGTCTTCAAAATCCTTTATCGGTCTGGCTCTAGTTTCTGTTATACAAAGTGTGCATGCGCCTCTTTTGTTTTTCGACAAAATGTACATTTATGTCATGGCATTAATGGCTTGTCGTTGAGTGCAGTGAATATGAATATGTCTGTCATGCTTTAACATCTCAATTCTGCTACCAGAGGCTGTTTACTGTGTCTTGTGCTTTCTTTCATGGTTTTCTGGCTGAATGTATCTCCAGACCATTTTCAAATAGTTTTACGTTGTTTTGACAAATCAAGTAAATTCAGACTTCATAAAAGTGTATTATGAGTTGTGAATCAGAACTCTGAATCATTAAAGATCGTTCTGACAAAAAGACCGTGTTTTTTTCCTATTCTAATAAAGGCCTATTCAAAGCAAGTTTTTGGCATGAATGAACATAAAAAAATCAAGGAAAGGTTTTCCACATGATTAACTTGCTTTATTTCAGCATTATGCAATTCTGTTATTCCAATTTAATGTACTTACGTTTGGTCAACTTAATGTATTAAGGTTGATTTGACTTATTTACTATGGTTGAGCACAGCCTAATATTGTCAGTGAATTTAAAAAGGCTCCCTGATGTGATTCAGGTATTCAAATTCATAATATTCATTCATCCAATATAATAGAATTTATTTTAGTGTCACACTAATACATTTCTAAACTATAACCAAGTATTAGCTACCACTTTGTTAGCATATTAAATTAAGATTTACATGCTTCATCAACCATAGCTTATCAGTTTTCAGCCTAAACAAATGCTCCACTCTTCTCCACAATGGTAATTTAAATGGTACTACACAATTGGGACTATAAAGTAGTATAGATGCTTCGTAAAGCGTCATCGCCCACTATGACACACTATACGAGATGATACACTCTTGCGTCCCGACGCCCGTTGTCGTTTACGAATCCCCACGACACCCTACGTCAAACGGATCGTGGCAAAATCGGGCTAAAATCGTGTGACCTGAACCAGGCATAAATGATGACAGAATTTTCTTTTTTGGGGGGAGTATCCCTTTAAAGGAGTAGTTCACTTTTAAAAAAAGTTTTGCTGATAATTTATTCACCCCCATGTCATCCAAGATGTCCACGTCTTTCTTTCTTCAGCCGAAAAGAAATTAAGGTTTTTGATGAAAACATTCCAGGATTTTTCTCCATATAATGGACTTCAATGGGAACCAAACGGTTCAAGGTCCAAATTAGAGTTTCAGTGCAGCTTCCAAGGGCTTTAAACGACACCAGACGATGAATAAGGGTCTTATCAAGCGAAACGATGGCTCATTTAATAAATAAATAAAAAACTTTAAATTTTATAAGCGCAAATGCTCGCCTTGCTCTGTTCTGTGATGAGCGTTCGTGACTCTCCTGTTCGAACTCGTTCATCAAAATGAACAAATCTTTGACTCGAAAGGTCCTAGATAAGACCCTTATTCATCGTCTGGTGTCGTTTAAAGCCCGTTGAAGCTGCACTGAATCTCTCTGGACCTTGAACCGTTTGGTTCCCATTGAAGTCCATTATATGGAGAAAAATCCTGGAATGTTTTCCTCAAAAACCTTAATTTCTTTTCGAATGAAGAAAGAAAGACTTGGACTTCTTGGATGACATGGGGGTGAGTAAATTATGAGCAAAAGTTTTTTAAAAAGTGAACTACTCCTTTAAGAGTGATAATGTCCTTTCATGCAGTGGATCTGTTGACTGATAATCATGTGATCTGTGTGTCTCATCAGAGTGGGTGTTTGGGCCTCGTTCAGACGACCGCAGGAGCAAGAGCGAGGTGAACTGCATCAGCAGCAGCGTGAATGAAATGAGCGAACTCTCTCGTGCGGTGGACATCGTGTACAATCACTCCGACCCCCCGAACACCGTCAGACCGGAAGAGCTGGTGGTCACCATCGACGAGACATCGCAGCTCCCTCGTGAAGCTTACAGTGGAACCTAACCGAGAACAACAACCACGCTTTGATGATCCAGCCCTTTATTACGAGGAAGAAAAGCATGTTTGCTTCAGCTTGATCGGCCTCCGCGAGCCGCTAGTGAAGTCAAACGGCCTTTGGTGGTCATGATCAGGAAAACTGAGGAAGTAAGGAATCACGATATTACATGTGAGACACTAAATATCCTCAAACTGAATTTGAACATGAGAGAGGAGAGACTCTACTTTATCATATCAGTCTTATTTTTCTTGTTTTGTGGAGACATGCACTGTGAATCTAGAATAGTCTTCTGCTGTTATCCATTTCCGACTCTACAACCCACTTTGGTTTGATTTTCCCACTTTTCGCAGATATTTATGGCCAGGCTGAGTACTTTGGGCTGCGTTTAAGTATTTTGAGAATACTTATATTTTACTCACTTTCAGGTTTTCTATAAGTGATTATGCTGCTTAGAAACAGAAATACTTTGAGATCTGCTCACTACGGGGTTGATGGTTTAGATATATAGCCCTTGATGAAAAAAAAAGATCACAAATGGCGAAACAATACTGCAGATGTGTTTTATTTTCATCTAGCAGATGGAGGGAGACACTATACACTTCTCACTGAAAATATATATGTAAATGAAAGGAAACAGCAGTTAAATACACTTATACGTGGTTTTATACATTGAAAAATGATCTATAAAGAATCATATCTCTGTTTACTTCACAACTAAGGGCTATAATTTCAGATCATCTTAACGAAGCTTTAGATCATCTGAGTATCATATTTTTAAACAGATTTTCAAAACTGGCAAAAAGAAAAAAATATCATTAAAAAATAAGATTGAGACAGTAGACTGAAGGCTTTGTCCACTTCTGCTGTTCATACATTTTCAGTTAAGGTGAAAAAAAATAACTTTAGGCAATTTTCCTGGTTATCACATTAACTTATTTTCACCTTTGCTGCCAAATTGTAATTGTTTTCTCACTTACAAAAAAAAAAAAAAAAATTCAAAGATTGTTCTGTGATCCATGTGTCCAGTCATACCATGTAACAATAATCGGACGTTGTAAAAAACACAAAATATGGTTTTTCTGTTTCTCGTGTCATTTTACACAAAAGTCACCTTAATAAATGTGTGACTATATGTCAAATTTATCTAAAAACAACTTGACTTCATTTTTTTTTTACAAAAACAAATATATATATATATATATATGAAGAGTTCAGATGCAAAAGATGCCATTTGAAATTTTCTTCTAAAATTATCATTTTTATCAAGCTTGTATATTTAAGTTCAGTGATTTCACTTAAATGGCAATGATAATTACCTATTAATTGTTAGTTAAGTGAAATTACTGAACTTAAATATACAAGTTTGATAAAAATCATCATTAAAGAAGAAAATTTCAAATGGCATTTAGAGGCTTTTGCATCTGAACTCTTCATATATATATATATTGCTGCTCCAAAACAACAAAGGCAAAATTAAATCCTTGAAATAATATTGAAATGAAGTTATTTATTGGCCTAAATAATATAATTATTATTATTTAATAATATAATAGCCTATACTAACTTTGAATAATAAGAAGTAGCCAATAACTCAGACGTAGAGTTTTATATGAAGCTGCATGTCGTTGTAATAGAAATCCCAATATGTAAATTCTATTTTGTTTTAGAAATATGTTATAACTTACCAAATATTAAATTACATCAAGGTCATACGTGGCCTTTACTAAAGTGAATGAAGCGCATTAGTCTGGTCAGGTTTAGTTATTTGATGAATTCATGTAGAATTAAGCTACTTAAATTAAAGTTTTTTATTTATGAATTGACCTCGTTATTTATTTATTTAAAGTATTATTCAAATCTAGCTGTAACGTCTAGAAATTTTAAAACAGCAACGAAAAATAACTTGTTGGTACAGCAAACAATGTTTTTTGATTGTTTCTTTGTTTTTACCCTGATTTATTTATTTATTTACGAAAGTAACTTATTCGATAACTTGTATAATAACCTATAGCCCTAACTTATAACCAAACTTATTAAAAGTAAAAAGTAAAAGTAGGCCTAAACTTTTTTCTTGATGGTTGTCATGAACACCCAGTTTGATCTGCCATTGAGAACAGCCAATTATCTCCCCTCACTTATTAAAATTAATGAAGTGGGTTTTAGCACAATGATGTTGTAACCACAGTTCCATAAGCCTTAAATGGGTTCAAGCGCGAAGGGCAAGTGGGAAAGCGATCGTAATTATCCCATATTAACATTTAAGATGTTTGTGTTTCTGACCCAACAGCCATCCAGCTTGTACTTGTTAATTCAGGTTTATTCAGTTAGGAAGCAGTTGTCAAATGTCTTCCTTACATCGAGCTGAAAGAGTCTTGAAGGGAATTTCTCTGTAAAAAAAAAATAAAAATAAATAACAATAAAACAATAATAACTGACATCAACAAGGCCACTTCATACATATCAGCTGCAACAGACTTACACATTCATAACTGACAACAGTTTGTGTTAACAAGGTCAAGAGTCAAGAGTGTAGTGAATTGATTTATCAGATCCGAGTTCCTGTATGATAATTAGGAGGTTTTTCTCTCTGACATCTTCTAGTTCTCTATGCAGTGTTTGAAAGTTCAGGACTATTAGTCAAACATTCACTAATTATTCAGGAGTGAGATAAAACATGCCCCATACTTCGTTTGGAAAATTGCAGCATTTCCACTGATGGGTCAGGTGATGGATGTCCTGATATCCTCTGCCTTTGTTTGGAAACGTAATGAGTATAGGCTTTAGGGATCCACTGGGCTCCTTTTCGAGGGTAAGTCAGTCTCATATGACATATACAATATAGTATGCAAAAGTATTTTATGTGAATGTATAACATGAATCATGTTGATCAGATTGCTGAGCGGTTTGGAGATGTGAGCACACTTTATCTGGGAAACCAGCCCTACGTAATACTCAGTGCAATACAAGACTTTCAAAGAGGCATTTGTGGAACAGGCGGACATCTTCACAGACCGGCGTTGACAAGCTCAGTAAACGGAAAGGTACTGATGGATAAAGTTATATTGCATCTGACTCAAATACTGGCAAAATATTAAACATTGCCTTAAATAATTCTTTCTTTGTAGGTCTATTTATGTCAAGTGGACACGTGTGGCATCAACAGAGGCGTTTTGCTGTGGCAACGCTGAAATAATTCTAGAAAACGCTGTCTCTGTGACTCTGTGTACACACTGAACAAGGTCGGTGAGCATCATTTTATTGCCACACACCATTTTATTCTCTTCACAGAAGATTTACTGTCATTATTTTATTATAAACTCCAAAAAATCTGAAAACAGAATGAATGTATTATATAACCAGGAAATAAAATAATAGTTCAGTGTCTTAACCCTTGTGCTGCATTAGATTTTTAACACCGTTGAGTGCATTAAGGACCAAAAATGGCCACATATTAAACATGGCCTAAAATATTATATATTATTATTATTTTCCACTTTTACCAAGTTAAATCTTTTAATCAGCATCAGTCCTCATCATAACTACCAAAAATGTATTCAATTTCAGGATTTTAACCCTTTAATTACCAGTTTTGTTTGCGAAACCATCGATTTGTATAAGAGGAAAAAACACAAAAATTCAATTATTTTCAATAAACTAAATGCAAAGAGAAAACTTTAGATTTGGATTATCACAGTCCCACTTTGCAAAAAATCCCACTTAGCGCATTAGAGACCAAAAATGGCCACCTATTAAACATTGCCCTATTGCCTAAAATAAGGTGCATTTCCACCCATTGGGAATAAATATGTAGTGACGTCATCTGGTGGAATACACTATATAATGCAAATATAATGCTTTTGCTTCAAAATGAAAGGATGTTTGTGCAAAAATCATGTTTCATGTATTACTGACAGCCTCAGATTTAAACAACGTTTTAATGGGTTTCAATGGGCCATTTTTGGTCTTTATGGTGCTGAGTGTTACTATTTGATCTACACAGTGTGTGTTATACATATTTTGCAAAATGGGATCACATTTTTTACATGTATCCAAAAAGTCACAATTTTGCCAAATTTCATACCATTTGCATTAAAACAGCCAAAATGGTCAAAGAAATTAAACTGCAAAAGACCAAAAATGTCCCTAATGCAGCATAAGGGTTAATCATGTCTTGAAGGGCTGTGTGAACATACTATCCTCTAGAGGCCACTATCTGCAAGTGCAAGTGTCTTTTTTGAAGGTCAAACAAAGGAAAAGGTGTTAGTATGATTTTTTAAAATGTTTTGATCAAATACTGTAAAGACAGAAATATTGTGAACAATTATTAAAATTCAAAATATCTGATTTGTATTTAAGTATTGTCAAATGTAATTTATTCCTAAGTAAGTTTTCAGCATCATTACTCCAGTCTTCAGTGTCACATGATCCTTCACAAATCATTGTAGTATGATGATTTGATGCTCAAGATACATTTACTATTATTGTCAATGATGAAAACAGTTGTGCTGTGGTAAATATTTCTCTAATTTCTCAAATCTAGAGATATTTGTGACATATTTAAATGGTAAAAAGAAACTGGACAAATACTGCAAATACTGGACTAGCATTTATTTGAAATATAAATCTTTTGTAACATTATAAATGTATTTACTGTCACTTTTGATTAATTTTTTGCACCCTTGCTTAATAAAAGTATTAATTTCTAAAAAATAAAAGTCTTACTGAAATATTTTTTTTCTTATAATCAATTTTGTGAGCAAAAACAGTTGTCCAGCTTTATTATATTATATCAGAGATGAGAAAAGGATCCAGTTCAATACATTACATATGAAATGTTGTGAGCAAATATGAAAGCTTGATCTGGTTTTGTATCTCAATGCCAAGTTGTACATCTAAAAAGTCACACAATTCATGCATATCTTCACAGGTTGATAAATATGGTTCATGAACATTAATTAGATGGCATGATGGTCCAGGAATCATGATCATTCATTTAGTTTGGTTGACAAGTAATATTCTGAACCCTTGAAAATCAAGTAAACTGGCAGTAATTGAGGCCATTAGCTCTGCAGGTGATGAACAAACACAAACACCATAAAAATTCATAACTGGCATGATCAGGACGAGGTCGAGGGTTTAATTTAATTTCTTTGAGCTAATGGCTTTCTCAAATACAGACCTGAATTACATTTACAGTTGGTATATTTTCTGATGTGAAAATCTCTGAAAATGTGAACTGGTCTGTTTTGTATGATGATCATTGCAGCGTTTCTTTTACAAATGGGGCAAAAAATGTGGCTTACATATGTTGAAGAAGTTAATATAAAATCAATAAGACATTGTGGTTGTAATTTTAAACATTAGCAACACAATTTGGAAAAGGGCAAATTATGCTGATGGGAGTGGGAAGTTGTACAGGTGATATAGAATGCACAAATTGTGACCTCAGGCTCAAAAAGACAGTTATTTTTGTAAATACACACACATGCATGTATTTAAGAAAAATATGTTATTATATAAAATATAAATTATGTAAAAAAAAAATATATTCAGTATACAGCCATGCAAATATTTCTTAAATAGCCTATACATGCATATGTGTGTATTTATATATACAAAATAATTATACACACATAATGTAACAGTAAACACAAACTTTTATTGTGCATGCTATACTTGCGATTAATCGTAGCCTAGCACTAAAAGAAAAAAAATGATGCTTATAATATTATTACTATTATAAATGTTAAATACACACACACAACTTTGTTTTCAGGTTGTATTGTGAGTTTGTGAGTAGGGGGAGACAGCAGATCTGGAGCCGGTGTAGATGTCGGCCTTCGCCCCAGGCAGTTTTACGCCCCTGTTGTTCCTGATCCGTCCAGTAGGGGGAGGCTGAGGTACGTTAGATAATCTGCTAAAGTTATTGTTGTGAACTTTTTTTGTTTTTTTACAGTCTTTGGTGTGAACACACAAAATACACATTTATAATAG